CCTTCCTTCCTTCCTTCCTTCCTTCCTTCCTTCATAACGAGGTTGGGCATCTGATTTGTACAATGGGATTTTCAAGATGCGCAAAGCCACACTTAGCTCAATTCCACTTGACAGCCCCAAACAATGACTTTGGCTTTCTCCAAATTCATCCTGCCCTAAGTTAAGAAACAGGCGGGGCCTCGCAGCTGTCTCATTTCCCTTCAAAACCTGGGCGCTTGGCCAAGCCGAATCAATTGCCTTATGAAGATTTGGATCCTGCCACGAACAGCAGGAAATGTGGTTTTTCTCTCACCCCATCATCGCATGCTCCGGTGTGCCCAACTATGGATTGTCAAGGGTTTGTCAGTGGCCAGAAGTCACCAGGCAACTTGATCGGTTAGCAGGGAAAAAAGGCTTAATTGAAACAACCCTCTGTGTACCCCATGATGGAAAGAGGCTCTCAGCTCACTTCCCTTAGTTTGCCTGCTGGGGGCTGCGAATGTTTTCAGGGGAAGCCCCTTCTCATTTCCAACAAATCCAAATCTCATCAGGATCCTTTAATGTTGGGGTTTTCTAGGAACTAGAAAGTTATTCCTGCTGAGGAAGGGGTAAGGCCACAAGGAACAAAAGCTAAATCTGGGGATGATTATTGGAGGCGGTGGGAGGATTTGAGCTGGCACCAGCCACGATTTTTCCACGAACCAGGCTGCAGCATGAAGGAAATGGAGTGTATTATCGGCAGACTGAAAACAAAGTTTCCAGCAGCTACGCTTGAGTCAAAGAAGACAGCAGTGGTGGGTTTTCACGCTTGGCTGAGTTTCAGCCTGGTTAAGTTTTTCCAGGAAGAGCCTCTCTGCCCTGAGGAGGTTCAGAGGCTGCTCTCCTGGTGACCCTCCAGCCATGCCCTTTGCAACTCGAGAATCTCCTGGCCGTACCAACTGTGGAGTTTGGAAAAACACATTGCGCTGGGATACACGGGGCTGTCAAAGCTGGGGCCACCGGCCCCACAGGAGTTGTTGGGAAGGGACCGTCTCCGAGGCGGCAACGGCGGCGGCTTGAGCCCTCCCTCGTAGCTCTTGGTCCCGCTGCGTGAATTTGTCTGGCTGCATCCAGGCGACAGGCTGGCGGAGGCTTCAGAGTTATTCCACAAGGCGCAGCCGTTTTCTTTCCCAGGGATGCAAATGGGAAGCGCCGGTTTCTCCTGCGGCAGGGCTGAGCCTAGCGCGGCCAGTTCCAAATTGGGAGCCGTTTTGTTTTTCCGATAAAGCAGCCGCCTCCTCTGGACTTGGTGGGAGCCAGTGGAGGCCTTCTGCATCTCCTCCAGCTGCTTCTCCAGTTCTCTCACCACCAGGCGCAGGTAGCCGAAGCTGGCCCGGGACAGAGCCTTCACCCAGGCCTCCATGGCGACCTGGCTCTCGGCCGCCAGCACGTAGGTGCGGGACTTGGGGCAGTCGAATTTGATGGCGAAGGCAAACTCCTCGGTGGCTTCGCATAGCTCCACCGTGCAGCCCTCCAGGATGATGACGCCCACCGGCTCCCGGCTCTCCCGGTCCTCGAAGTAGAAGAGCATGTTCCCCTTCAGCACGAACCAGCGCCGGTGGTAGGCCGTGTTGCGCTCACCCTTCTTGTGGAGGAAGCCGGCATTGTCGGCGGGAGAGTCGCAGGTGGCGTAGAAAGAGAGGCTCCGTTCGTTCAGCTTCATGGTGGGGCGTCCCTGGAAGGGAAAAGCGAGAAAGAGCCGGACGGCCCTGTGGTCATCTTCAACTCCAAGCGCAAAAGGGGCCACTCGGATTTCTGTGGCTGCATCTACAGCATTGAGAGCAACCTCTGGGCTGGCAGGAAGGCATTCAGTTTCAAGACTAAATATTCTGCATTTTGCCATCTTTCTCCCCCCTCCCCACCCCCAGGATTCTTCCTAGGCACTTTGTCATCCAATAAGAATCACAGAGCCAAGGTAGATTTGCCAAATTAAAGAAGGAAGGCACAGCCTACCTCGGCGACCTTCGACAGCTGGCAATTCAGACACTGTCAGCTGCTAAGCAGCTCCAATCTGACGCCTTCCAAATACAGCTGAGATCAACGACAGACATTTCCCAGCTTGTGTGCTGTGGATTATGGGAGTTGGCCCAACGTCTTGTCAGCACCTGGTTGGAGAAGCCTGCCTTAGGTCTAAGACAGGCTTCTCCGCTCTGGTGTCCTTCAGATGGGATGAATGTTGTTTTCTGCAAACCCCCAGCCAGGAGTGATGGCTGTATGAGGGGAGTTGCAGTCAACCCCTTTGAGGTCACAAGGAGGGAGATAGCAAGAAGGAATAAGGTTTCGACCTGGGGCCAATCTATAAGCTGGACTGCAGTGTCTGATGTGTGTGTGTGTGTGTGTGTTTTCTGCCCATGTACATTTATTAGCGCACTCGATTCAAATGCAGCACTGGGTCTTCCCTTGCGACACCCGCAAGAAGCAGACATCTTCCTCGAAAAGAGCCTCTTCATTCTCCAAGATGGGCAGCCAAGTGCAGCCCACAGGAAGGAGAAGCAGCACAAATCTGGGCCGAGAGAAGGGCTGGGGTTTCTGGCTGGGAGGATTGGGTGACCCTGATGCAGAATAAACTCATCCTTGCCTGGGGCAACGGGTGGAACGGCCACCCTTTTCAGTCCGGGCAATTCTTAGGGGAGCCAAAAAGGCAGGCTGGGGGTCCCCAAGCCAGGGGCGTTATTTTGGTGCATCAGCTGAATCGCCCATGTGTACTTTTCTCCCTCGGGGACAGGAGAAATACCCTGAACTCAGAAGGCGACCATTGGCCTCACTTTCGTGGTCCTCCCCAACTGGCCTACTCGATCGGTCTCAAGGCAAGGTCTGCCACGGCTCTGGAGAATTCCCAGCAGGCACGTCTCCCTCCAGACCACCTAGGAGACCCAGCCACCTGCTCTGTCTTTCCGATAACCCTGGCTCTTCCCATCTGGGCCCTCTGCTAACCCCACAGCCCCAGCATGGTCCTAGGCTGGGCCCCAGGGCCATCGGAGGGCAGGGACAGCTTCATGACCCAGGAGGGGAAGATGTGGCTGATGGTGGCTCCCCCAAATCCTGCAAGGATGCCAAGCAGAACCCTTGCCAGCCAGCCAGCTCCTCTCTCCCTTCAGAGCCACTGACAAGAACAAAGGAAAGCAGTTGGGCCACGGAAAGAGTGGTTTGTCGGGTCTGCCCGTCCGGAACTGGGTAATTCTCACAGGCTGCCTGCCTTGCCACCAATATTCATCCATTTCTTGTCCTGCATCTTCCAAAGGCTGCCAAGGGAAACTTTGGGCAAGAGTCTGAATGCCAACTTCATTGTTTGGAAGGAACTACCCTGTTGACAGTTGGAGACAAACACGTGCCAGCCTGGCATGGCACAGAGGCACCCGCAGGACAGAAAACACACAGCTGCAGGCCAAAGCCGTACCTGCCTCTGACGCCCAAGGAGCCAAGAACATGTATTTATATCTGAAATATAAATTTAAAAATTTGAAATATAAATGAACGTGTGCCCCACCGACAACCTCTGCTGGCAACGAGAAGGCTCTTTCAAAGAGGTTGCCTTTGCATCTCCAGCCAGATCCTTTGGGGTTTCAGGGGGTTCGTTGGGTGATTGCTGGGAGCACGGGCCTTATCTGGTTCCAGCACCTGTTCAAGCAGCAGCTTTATTTGACCACCAATTTCTATGAAGATCTCACCCAGAAAGGCAACAGAGGAAGAATACTGCGGCTAGCGCGGTCAACCCTGGGCCAAGCTGGCTGGTGGCAGAGCCGATCCTGGAGAGGGGATGCAATACAACAGGAGATCCTCCATGTTTCAGAAAAAAAGCATCGGCTGGCATTGGCCTTCCTGGGGTAGCCCAGCTTCAGCCCCGGTGGGTGTTGGAGATCTCAGCTCTTTTTCTGGGTGGACCAGAGAGGGAGCCAGTTGCAAAAACAGGAACTTCGCAGGGAGAGATGTGTGAAGGAACAAGTGCCTTAGGCCCCTCGTTCAGCTCCAAAATCTGAGCTTGGGGTCCAGTTGCACAAATTCCACTCCTGGTTCCCACCTGCCTCACACTTTTGTGCAATTCTGCAGCCTAATTGACACCCAGGAAGGCAACTCTTTTTGGTGTGCCTGCTATGAAACTCAGGGGGCTCTCTTGAGGGTCTTTTTCTCCAAGCAAAGTTCTCTCTTCCCATTAGCAAATCATCTTACTGCACCCCAAGTTCTTGGCCAAAAGTCTTCGGCCCTGTTCTGATTTTGGCCCGGCTGCTGGAAATTTGGATGAAGAAAACCAGCTCAGAGGAGCCAAAGACCCTAATTCTATAGGTGTGCGGCATTTGTATAGAAGCCATGGCATCTCTTGCCCCCAGAAGCTCTCCTGAAGGGCAACTGGGCAAATTCACTGTGAAGATGATCAGGGGCTGCTGGCTGCCAGGGCCATCGATCGCCCACAATTTAGGAGAACGAGAGGAGACCTCCACATGCCAGGCCTTGGGGAACCCGCTGCCTCACCGTCTTGAGGGTGGGCTTCCAGAGGCCTGGGCTTGGTCCCTGGAGGGCGGGAGAAGAGGAGCCCCTCTTAACTAGCCTCCTCCTGGCGCAGGGCAGCCCTTCCCATCACTGAGCCCGGGCTGGCTTGAAGCTGGAGGAGCTGCATTCTGGGACCCCTCCAGAAGCGGCGTCAAAGAGGGAAGGAAGGGGGCTTCTCTGCAGACCCCC